ATGTAAATATGTAAATGTAAAGATTTTAATCTATATAAACTATTTTTTGTATTTTGTTATATATACACACACACACACATTATAGAGCGATACATTTCAATTGCATGATTGTTTAAATCATTGCAAAATCTCAACTATATTATTGCACAGCTGTAATCTAAAAAAAAATAGAGATATTATAAACATTAACATCATTATTTTCTGTAAAGCTGCTTTGATGCGATGCATATTGTGTAAATCACCATCCAAATCATTTTTAATTTTGACTCATGCACAGCAATCACACCATTTCATTTGAGTAAATAAACATATCTTCTTCTACAGCTTTCTTGAGGAAACATTGCATTAGGCTTTTATTGTTATGCAAAGACATAAGTCTATATAAGTCTCAACAGGCCAGATGAAATTTCACGTCTTCTAGGCTGCGTTAAGAACACTCAAGACTGCATGCCAAGTAATTCTGATAAAACACAAGCACAAATGATTGGCTTCTGGAAACAGGCTGCTCTGTCACGCACATAACACAATGAAGAAGTAGGAATGTGCTACCAGCGCGCCACAGGGAGCAGGTGTCTAACGGCTGACCGGTGGGAGCGGCGTCAAGGTGAACGACAGCTGAATGTGCATTCAACAACGTCACATCAGCTTCTCCTTCAAGACATCAGCAGAATCCAGACAAGCTACTCTCCTCTCATCACCGCATCGGTCTCCGTTCAAGCAGACGGACAGAAAACAGCTGCATCGCAAAGGGCTGATGTCGTGACCTCTTTCAATTGTTTACCTTCCAAATGTCAGAGCTGGATGTTGAGATCTGTGACAGTAGACATGCATCTAAGCTCCAGTGACCTCGAGCACGTTTACAAGCTCAGATACTGAAATATCCTGCCCATCCTGATCCAAATAAGACTAATTCTATAGACTCTTTTCTTGCTATTCTCTTCCTCAGTTTATTAACTTTTGTATTTAGTCCGAGTCAGTTAAAGCTGCTTCAAATTTGGTGTTTAAAGACCCATCGCAGAATAAAAGGAGGAATAAAACATGTATCAGAGGCGGCTCTGATGCTGCTTTACTTCTGTGTAAAGTGATGCAGCATCGGTGGTTAAGAGTGTATTTACCACTTGGGTTTAAATTACATTTATTAAATTTTTAATATTGTCAATTTCAACTTTGTATTTTCATGTTTTTAGATTCATTTTAATATGTAAAAAATATTAAAATGATATTATTTGTGCACTAATTTTTTAATATTTTTTATTTGCAAATTTGTATTTTCATGTATCTAGATTTTAATATTTAAAAATTGTTCAAACGATATTATTTGTGCACATATATTTTTCATTTACATATTTTCATGTTTATAGTCATACTATAATACGTACAATACTTCAATTACATTTGTGCACATTTTAAAAAAAAATTTACTTTGTATTTTATATGCGTCTAGATTCATATTTTTATATTTAATTTAAATGAAATTATATGTGCACTTTTAATTTATGGGAAAATGCATTTATGACACCTTCATTTTAAAGTAATTTAAATCAGTTTAACATTTAATCAGATGATTAGTCTTTAACTAGTTTGATTAATAAAGGCTTGTTTGGATTTTGAGAATGTGGGCTTAGAAAATTAATGATCTGATAATATGATCACATAATCTGAAAATAACCAAATATTAACAGTATTTTCTCACTATATATATATATATATATATATATAAGTGTGATAATGCATCAACTGTTTGCTAGGTATATAAACGCAAGTCTGAGCATTGCAAAAACTACTATTACAGAAACCAGATTTGGTTTGAATCAGTTTATACAAAAAGCACAAAAAGGTTTGCAATTACATTTTAGCCATTTTAGCCACAAAACTACTGTTAAGCTACACTAAAAAAAATACATCTGGGAGAAGAGCAGCAGGTTCAGAAACTAAATTATGATATGAAACTGCCGGAATATTGTGAAAAAGCAACAAAGCAAGCATGCAACAAAAAGCATCAGGTCAGAAACAAACACGGTTGCATGTAATAGATTGATTGCAAGGGAAAATCAGGTGAAGTACAGTAAATTACAGAACCTATAAATACATATCTAATCACATCACATATGATGCATGTTTGATAGATGCTGGAATCCCAGATCTGATCAGTGCAATTCAAAAAATATAATAATAACAATTGAACAATATTACAGTCACTTTAAAGTGACAGCATTGACTGCTGATGGAGAACAGACGCTGGAGAGCAGCGATCTCCACTGGAACATCTGCAGCTCTAGAGCAGCTCTGATGAAACCGAGCAACAGGTTCACAAACCCAATCCCTGCGGCGCCAGTTTAGCACGGAGCTCGGGATATAAATGCGCTTCGCAAACGGTTTGAAAGCCTCTTTTCCTCAGACACTGCGGACTGCGGGTGTGGTGACTGCATCAGCGCTCTCTCTCTCTCTCTCTCACACACACACACACACACACACACACACACACACACACACACACAAACCCTCACATGCACAGCTAAACGATAAACAACACGCAAACGGACGATGCAACGTCTTTTTCACCTCCTTTAACGCGTGAAGTTCAAAGCATCACGAGAGCATCAGCACTTCCACTCACTCAGATCCACACGCACGACCAGAATCGATGATATAACATCTCAAATTAAATTGAATCCAGCTCTATTATGCGATAAACACTTTGGTTTTAAGTGCATCGCTCGCGCATCCCGCACGATGAATATTTCGCTCATCCGTGCACAACAGAAGCATTCAGGTTTCGATGCATAACCGCTGTGGTGCACCGGACTGACCTCCCAGTCGATGGAGTCCCACTCGTCGGCGAACATTCGGCGGCTGTGAGCTCGCGCTCTCGGCGCCACTAGGGACGATCGGATGGCATTGCGCTCTCAAAATCCACATCAAATCCCTCTCAGGCGGTGAAATCCCACATATCCCGAGCATGAGTCCGAGCGGAGACCGATGGAGTCATGTACACGCCGCTGCCGCTCGTTGAGCTGCGCGTAAAAGCGCCGCGCTCCGCTTCGCCATGAAGAAGGAAGGGGGCGAACAAGTGCCCTCGCTAATTACTCATTTACCTGAGGGCTTTCACCGCGTACAGTACACTTATGACAGGTTCAGTCCTTGTGGAGCGAGTCGGGCTCATAGCTGAGCTGATGGAGAAACATCATCCGATGCGCCTTTAAGGAAAAGTTGTTGCATAAGGGCTTTCCGAGAGCCTTCCCTTGCCGAATAAATCCTGACGGATTTCTATTGGTATTTCGATCATAACTGGAAGCATTCCTAATGGGATGAGTCAAGAATCCTTTAAGAATCAAATAAGATCCGTCTGGAGACGCGGAGACTCTTTTATTCTCAGTTTATCCTGAAGGATCTTGTTGGACTCTTGCAGGCCTTTACTGAGTGAGTTAAAGCTGCTCCAGATTCTGTGGAAAGACCCCATGCAGCATAAAAGGAGGAATAAAACATGCAGCTGGAGAGAGGCGGCTCTGATGCGGCTTTTCATCTGTCGAAAGCGATGCAGTTTCAGAGCTGCCTTAAACTTAGCGGTTGCCATGAAAGTGTTCATTTAATTTTTATTATATATAATATATATTTTTTAAAAATGTATTATATTTAAATGTTTAGATTCGTAATTGAATATTTTGAAATTATTTAAATACTATTTGTGCACTTATAGTGCACTTATGCACTATATATATATATAAAATCATATTTTAATATTTCAAAAATTAAATGAAATTATTTGTGCATTTATTTAATTTTTAATATATATTTTTATTTTAAACTTTGTATTGTCATTATGATATTATTTGTGCATTTTCATTTTTTATTTATTTAGAACCTTGTATTTTCATGTTTATAGATTCATATTTTAATATTTCAAAAATTAAATGAAATTATTTGTGCATTTTCATTTTTTATTTATTTAGAACCTTGTATTTTCATGTTTATAGATTCATATTTTAATATTTTAAAAATATTTAAATGACATTACTTGTGCATTTACATTTTTACATTTATTTATTTAGACCTTCGCATTTTCATGTTTCTAGATTCATGTTTCAATATTTAAAATTATATAAATTACATTACTTGTGCACTTAATTTTTTTATTATCAACTTTTTATGTTCATGTTTGTAGATTCATATTTAAAAATCATTAAAATAACATTTGTGCACTTATTACATTTTTTATATATATATTTTTATTTTAAACTTTGTATTGTCATTATGACATTATTTGTGCATTTTCATTTTTTATATTTTTTATTTATTTAGAACCTTGTATTTTCATGTTTATAGATTCATATTTTAATATTTTAAAAATATTTAAATGACATTACTGTGAACTTAATTAATTAATTAAATTATTTTGTGTAATTTATTAAAAAAATATTGAAACGAAATTAATTGTACACTTATTTTTTTATATATATTTTTATTTACTTAGTTTGTTTCATGTTTCTAGATTAATATTTTAATATTTAAAATGACATCATTTGTACACTTTTAATTTCTGGGTAAATGTTTAGAATTAAACACTAAATCCAGTTCTACATGTATAAGCCGCTTCTGAGCCTGCTTTGCGGCGTAAAGGCGGCATTAGAGGATTCTTGTTTGATTGCATTTGATTGCATTTGCTTCCATACGATAGATACTCCAGCAGCAGTCCAGCACATATTTCTTGGAGATTTTTTGACTGCAGTGTTATTTTGAAAAGCACCTGTTATTTGAAATAGCACGCATTGCAAAAAGCGCTACACAAATAAACGTGCATTGAACTGAATTGAATTCGCACTCGTCAATTGCCATTTACACCTCATTATCACGTGCGCCCATCCACACCTCACACCATTCGCCCTTGCAACACTGACATTCACACTATAGCACTTCTGTTTGCATGCTCGCCGTGTTTCATTGGCTCTGCGCCGCCCTCCACAATAGCTCTAATCTGACTTTGACGAGCGGGAGACTCTTACCATGAGCACGGCGAGGTTGTTGTGGTGCGCGCAGTGGATGGTGGTCGTGTTGTGCGCGGAGCCCGTTATGTGGCAGCCTTCCGCGCGCCAGCCGCCGTGTCCATCCAGCAGGTCAAAATCCCAGTATGCCGCGGTGGGGTCTACACCCAACGAGAAGTGCCGGAGAGCGACGGTAACCGGCTGCACGGGGCTCCCGGGGCTACACCCATCTGCACAGGAGAGCAACACATTGCGTCAAGTAACGACCCGAGTGGAGAGTCCTCAAGTGTTGCATCCATATGGAAGCTGATGCATGCAATCACGCACACGCACGGAGATGTGCATCTCAGAATTTAACAAATGAGCTTAACTGCGCACGCAAACAAGTCCAATCCAACTCGTGCACAATTGCAACGCAACAGTTGCAACGCGCATGCTTTCTCATAATTGCATGTGACGTTATTGACACAATATTCCATTGCAAACCACTTATTTGCCGAAACGCAGTGATGTATTGGATGCACGAATGGAATGCATGGGAAAAATCGCAGCCTTACCTAATTTGGTGAACGCAACTGGTGTCGAAACGCTTCTGCGCTTGCCATCGTCCGCAAGATTTGACGAATTCCCCGTGCACGGAAAGAGTTTTCCATTGCGGAAGACGATCAGCTGCAGCTTACAGGTGCAGTTCTCCCCAGACCGAGGGGTAGCCAGCGGGAAATGTATGGAGGCGATGGCCACCGTGTTCTGCAAACAGGGAAACGCATGTGAGGCATGTGCATCTGATGCGCAGACGTGTGTCAGCTCCTGTCTGATTGAGAGAGAAGGGCAAAGTGCTGGAGGAAGCAGGGGCTCGGCCTCTCTCATCTTTTTAAGTGGGAGAACTTGCACAATTGGTGGCTGACTAAATACTTTTTTTCCCCACTGTATATCGTATATATCCAACTGGATAGTATCATTCATAATAATTCGTCAAAAATAAATAGTTAAAATAAAAATATATAAATATTTTATAATTAAAATCAAATACCATAACATTATGATGATGATAATAATAATACTAATAATAATAAAATGCATTCCAGTAGTATCACTGGATAGTGCCACTTATAATAACTTTCTCTTTCAACATTTTGTGCAATCCCATTAAAATGCATTATAGTAAAAATATAAAATGCAATAAAACGTATTAATAAAAAAACAAAAGACATTGCAGTAGTATAACCGGATAGTACATAAATTATAAAAATTTTTTAAAAATAAATAAATATATACACCAATAATCCATGATTTTATTTTCAACATTTTGTGCAATCCCATAAAATATAAAAAATGTGAGTGTGAGAATGTGTATATATATATATATATATACACACACATGAAAATATTCCACTAGTATCACTGTATAGTAGATAGATGGACAGATAGATAGAATAACAAACAAACATTAATTAATTAATTGATATATAAACACTAATAAACCAAGATTTTCAGCACTTTGTGCAATCCCTGTTACATTTAAAGCATTTTGAGGTTGGAAGTTAGTGGGTGAAAACTCCCATCAAATCAGACAACACGATCAAGAGAGAGAATTCAGCCTTTAGGGAAGTAAAAATGTGTGGTTCAGCTCGTGCCATCAGTGCTTATTTAAAACTCGAGAGCAGCGGATCTGATATAAGGTCATGTGTGATGAGTCCCTGTGCTTAGAAAGCCTGCCGTCAGCATTCGTCTGCTCCGGGAAGAGAGAAATCAGTCTGTCGAGCAGCGAGGAGTTTCATTCACAAAACCAGGCGCCTCTTTAGTCATGGCATGATTTCCATACGTGACTCACGGCTGGAGCTGCAAGCGTCCTTTACCCAGAGTGCACTGCAGCATCCCAATTACATTCCAGCAGCTCTTCAATGCAGCACTGCTCGCACTCTCATCTACACCACACACACTTTCTCTGAATGAAGAATTACATTTATTTGAATTTGTCTCTCTTTTCACCCTGACTGTAACTGCTGTATCTGAAAAAGCCTCTGGTTCATCCTCAGTTCGTGTGAAGCGGATCGTTCAGCGGTTTATGAAGGCGACGTTCAGCACCACGGACAGCAGCCAAACACATTTTTATAAAGAGAATGGTTCCATTATTGTTAGAAAACAATATATAGCTTCATTTGTTATTTGGCTCAAATACATTTCTTTTTATAATACACATTGTTTCGAAGCATAGCCATTGTTTAGAAAGAATAGCTAACAAACAATGTGACAAGACAATGAGAAAAACTCCTTAAGATGTTTAAGTAGATGAAGAAATAAACCAAGATGCTTTAACCCTGTAAAGCCTGATATATGAAATACAGTCTTGCATTTTTAAATGGAATGGTTTATTGAAGCTTTAGACAAAATAATTAAAAATAATCTCTTTGCATGTGTTTTTTTTTTGTTTTGTTTGATGCATCAGGCTTTTATGGCTCTTATAGTCTGCAGTGAGAATATGAAGTAAAAACAGCTCAATTTTATTCAGAGACTCAAACTGAGCAAAAATCTGAATGTGGTGCAGATGCTGATATTTACATGATGAAATTCTGCTGCTTGTAATGTAAATCAGTGACATCTGTATAACACTACAGCAGATGCTGACATAAAATGATCTGAATATCAGCGGTCGCTCTATATCTCCAGTAATCTGTCTCAGTGAGATGAGACTGAAATGCTCCAAACATATAATGCAGTGATTGAGAGCTGAAGAAATAAAGGCTCCTCAGAAGATGTGAGATGTTCTGGAGGCTTGTGAAGATCATTCCTCCGCTGAGGAACAGTGAAAGTAAAGCTTCTGGAAACAAACGCTCCTCAAAAGATCCTGAGGATCAGATTTGAGACTCTAAAACATGATTGATGGAGAATCAAGTAAAGCTGAGAAAAAACAAAAGACATTGCAGTAGTATAACCGGATAGTACATAAATTATAAAAATTGTTAAAAATAAATAAATATATACACCAATAATCCATTATTTTATTTTCAACATTTTGTGCAATCCCATAAAATATAAAAAATGTGAGTGTGAGAATGTGTATATATATATATATATATACACACACATGAAAATATTCCACTAGTATCACTGTATAGTAGATAGATGGACAGATAGATAGAATAACAAACAAACATTAATTAATTAATTAATTGATATATAAACACTAATAAACCAAGATTTTCAGCACTTTGTGCAATCCCTGTTACATTTAAAGCATTTTGAGGTTGGAAGTTAGTGGGTGAAAACTCCCATCAAATCAGACAACACGATCAAGAGAGAGAATTCAGCCTTTAGGGAAGTAAAAATGTGTGGTTCAGCTCGTGCCATCAGTGCTTATTTAAAACTCGAGAGCAGCGGATCTGATATAAGGTCATGTGTGATGAGTGCCTGTGCTTAGAAAGCCTGCCGTCAGCATTCGTCTGCTCCGGGAAGAGAGAAATCAGTCTGTCGAGCAGCGAGGAGTTTCATTCACAAAACCAGGCGCCTCTTTAGTCATGGCATGATTTCCATACGTGACTCACGGCTGGAGCTGCAAGCGTCCTTTACCCAGAGTGCACTGCAGCATCCCAATTACATTCCAGCAGCTCTTCAATGCAGCACTGCTCGCACTCTCATCTACACCACACACACTTTCTCTGAATGAAGAATTACATTTATTTGAATTTGTCTCTCTTTTCACCCTGACTGTAACTGCTGTATCTGAAAAAGCCTCTGGTTCATCCTCAGTTCGTGTGAAGCGGATCGTTCAGCGGTTTATGAAGGCGACGTTCAGCACCACGGACAGCAGCCAAACACATTTTTATAAAGAGAATGGTTCCATTATTGTTAGAAAACAATATATAGCTTCATTTGTTATTTGGCTCAAATACATTTCTTTTTATAATACACATTGTTTCGAAGCATAGCCATTGTTTAGAAAGAATAGCTAACAAACAATGTGACAAGACAATGAGAAAAACTCCTTAAGATGTTTAAGTAGATGAAGAAATAAACCAAGATGCTTTAACCCTGTAAAGCCTGATATATGAAATACAGTCTTGCATTTTTAAATGGAATGGTTTATTGAAGCTTTAGACAAAATAATTAAAAATAATCTCTTTGCATGTGTTTTTTTTTTGTTTTGTTTGATGCATCAGGCTTTTATGGCTCTTATAGTCTGCAGTGAGAATATGAAGTAAAAACAGCTCAATTTTATTCAGAGACTCAAACTGAGCAAAAATCTGAATGTGGTGCAGATGCTGATATTTACATGATGAAATTCTGCTGCTTGTAATGTAAATCAGTGACATCTGTATAACACTACAGCAGATGCTGACATAAAATGATCTGAATATCAGCGGTCGCTCTATATCTCCAGTAATCTGTCTCAGTGAGATGAGACTGAAATGCTCCAAACATATAATGCAGTGATTGAGAGCTGAAGAAATAAAGGCTCCTCAGAAGATGTGAGATGTTCTGGAGGCTTGTGAAGATCATTCCTCCGCTGAGGAACAGTGAAAGTAAAGCTTCTGGAAACAAACGCTCCTCAAAAGATCCTGAGGATCAGATTTGAGACTCTAAAACATGATTGATGGAGAATCAAGTAAAGCTGAGCTGCTTCAGTCCAGTAAGTGTTCATCTGGAGATATTACTGCAGTTATTCTGACCTTTACTTGATCAAAATCAGTCAAGATTTGACACGAGATGCTCCAGCTGAAGCTGGACGTTTGTGCAATTACACTAAAAGAGCTTTGACTGGATAAAACACTCCAAACTATCAATCAGACGACAGAATGCATGCAGTAGATCGAGTGTGAAACAGGTTTAACAGCAAAGTTTGATTATTTAGAGCCTTAGAAATGTGTGCATTAAATACGATCCAGTAGCTTTATAGGGTTAAACATATTTATACAATGCATCCATGCATTCACAAACATTAGTTTAAACAGATGTAATCCAGACAGAATGCATAAAATTCATTTGGTGTTTAATTAAATAAGATTAAAATGACCTCTAAGAAAAGCCGAATCCATGCACTCAGTTTCAGTGATCCTTACAGTAAAGCAACTTTGTGCACTAAATAAAAATACAAATTCTCAGAAAATACATAATGCATATTACAAAAGAACAACTTGGTGAAAACATGATATATTCATTTCAGTGAATGCAAAACGTAGTTAGAATTCATTTTTGTATTCTATGTAACACGTTCAGCTGCAACACATTCACATTAATTTCAACGCCAAGGTTGTGGGTTTGATTCCCAGAAAATGCATGGGTTAATAAAGTGTATAATGCAATGCAAGTTTCTTTAGATAAAAGCGTTTGCCAAATGCATGAATGTAAAACTGTTAACATTAATTTACATCAATGCCAGTGTCGAATGTCAATGTCTTTTATATTATGTCTTTTAACATTAGTTTGGAGGACCGCATTCAGAAATGATTCAAATTTAAGAAAGTAGATGTTTAAAACCAACATGCAAAAGCACTGCTAGAGAAAACAAGCATTAAAGTGCATTACAGTCACTGAGATATAACATAACCCATGTGATTCATTAGCACCTTTAACCAAACAGACTTTGCACTACGAGCAGTTCGTTCGTGTACATCCTAAACTGAAGTGCTGGAAGCAGCAGCAGTTTTTAAAAACATTTAGTTCTTTGAGAATGGATAGAATCACGTATTGCAGCAGAGCCTGTAACAGCGAGAGCGTAACATCAAAATGAAAGAGACTAATTTACAAAG